ATGAGCAAATTCTTGCATGTGGAGACAACAATGTGCGTGCGTGTGTGTGTGCGCGTGTGTGCATTCTCATTATGTGCCTGCATGAGTGTGCACACTGTGTAGACCATGAACCTGTGTGTGTGCACTGTGCTCACACGTACTGTAGACGCACCCGTGCACTTCTGTGGATCTCGTGTGTGTATGTGTGTACACATATGAATAAAAGTCCTCCAGTGTAAGGAAGAATGGCATGCTCCAGCCGGCTGGCAGAATGGGCCATGCGTGGCTCTTCCTAGGGTGACTGGGGCTCTCATGTCTGCCTCCGTTCAGTGGCACCTGGAAAGTGCCTGGTGTCCTCGTGATCATTCACCCTTATTCATCCTCATGAACTCATTCAACGCGTTCCTTCCGGACTCCAGCAGGTGTTCATTGGGTTATAAGCTCTGGAGTCTTTGGCTGGGACACAGCAGCTCCTCAGAGGCCAAAGAAGGCTGCCCACTGCCACACCCTCTTATAGCTCATGGGTCATCGTCACTCCCTTCTAGGCATCCATCTGGCCTCTTCCCCTCCAAGTACCCAGAGCTAAAGGACCCCAGAGGCACTAGGGACAGGGCAAGGGGCAGGAGGTGGTCAGCAGGCAGGACATGTGGCTCGCAGGGCAGCTGTCTCTCCTTGACCTTCGGAGCCCCACACGCCACGCTGGCCGCCCTTTGAAGAGCAGCTGATTATCTCAAATGCTGCCCTGCTCTGGAGCCCGCATGCCCTCCCTCCACGGACCGCAGGCTGCCAGCTGAGTGGCGGGTGGCAGCTGCTTGAGCTGGAAGCTTTTGATTTGCGTCAGTGCCTAGCTGGCCAGGAGGGGCCTGCACGGCGGGTGCTTGGCAGCTGTGGAGAGTCACAGTGACATCACGGTTCTCAGGACCCAGGCAGGCATCCCGGGGGGGGGGGGGACAGGCTGCATGGTCAATGGAGCACATGCTGCCGAGCCCTCAGCCCTCTCCCCCAGTGAGCTGGGCTTTGCAAGCAGTTTCCATGATGCACATGCCATGGAGGTCAAGCCCCCAGAGGCGGAACGGAAGTGGATTATCCCTCCCCCATTGGGCTCCCTTCGGCTCCCAGAGCAGCCGGCTTGCCACCCTGTGGCCACCCGGGTCATGGAGAACTCCTGCTAATTGAGGGCCTCTGGAGGAGCCCTCACCACGCCAGCAAACCTGCAATTTCACAGAGATAAAAGGATCCTCAAAGGGCCCCAGGGAGAGAGAGAGCACCGTGCCTGTGAGAAGGAGTCAGGAAGAGGGGCCATTGTCATCTCTTCCCTGGTGTGCCATGGAGGCTGCGCCGTAGCCCAGCCTTTTCCTGGGTGGAAAGAGCCAGGCAGTAGTGGAGCTGTGCAAACCTACATGTGTCCCCTCTCTTTGTTACTGATGCCTCCTGCTCAGGGCAGCAGCAATTGTGAGTCATTTCAAAGGCTGGTCGGTTTATCCTTACAAAGACTTTCTGGGAAGGCGCCTGCTCTCAAAGAAATGAGACTGTTTGTCACCATGGTCACCCAGCCCATCCCCCGCCTGTCAGCAAGATGCTCTGACTCCTGGCAGTAATTACCCCTGGTGGGACTGGCCACATCCCTTCCGCTGGTGTCTACAAGGCACCCTCTCTGCTCCTAAGCCAAAAGCCCTGTGCACACAACTTGGACCTCATTTCACCTGCGCAAACGCTTCCTCCTCCAAACAGAACACAGAACACTGCACTCTCAGAACTCCCGACATCCTGCTTTACCATTCCTGCGGGGCTCTGCACCCTCACTGAGTCCTGGGATGAGCGCGGGTGGGTGGCAGGTTGTGACTACAGTGAACTTGCACTCAGACGCTAGCTGCCCTGCTGGGTTAGCGGACTGGGCATTGGCTGCAGAGGTGACACAGGTCCTGGGCTCTTCGCATCTTACTGAAGGTGCCTTAACATTCTGTGTTAACACTCCAAGCTGATTTTTTTTTCTCACTAACAATGGTAGCTGGTCACCATCCCCCCTCTTTCTCTCTGGGAATCCAAGAATCCGGAAAATGGACTTTTCAGAACCCCATTCCAGCCAGGTGGGGGGTTGGGGCCACAGGGAAGCAGTTAAAGAGCCTCATATCCTCACCCTGAGAGTTCAGACTTTTTGCCCAGGATCCATCAAACCTGGGGGACAGGAAGCTGGCATCAGAGCCTGTGGTGGTGACAGACAGCGTCTGATCTGAGTGGAGCTGTGGTTTGGAGAATCACAGGCCACACTGCATTCCCTCCCCACCAGGCATCTGTGTGGCTCTCATTCTGAGTGTCTGGGATCTTCCCTCACCCACACCGCTGTGCTCCTCTGGGCTGCGTGCTGAGTCACCGGTGTCGTCCCTAACTTGGAGCATCTTAGAGCAGACTGGGTGGCTTCAACCACAGACATTTACTGTCTCTGAGATCTGGAGGTCACAAGTTCAAGGTTGAGGTGTGGACAGGCAGCCGCCCAAAGGTCTGAGGACAGCTGGTGATCTGCTTCTCCCGGCCACTGGCGCTGCAGAGTTCCTGGGCCCCCGACTCATCACCTGGCCTTCCCATTTGTCTGTGCTGGCATCTCCCTCGCCATCTCTGGTAATGATTACAATGGTTGCCTTTAATGCCCAGCCTAATCCAGGGCCACCTCATCTCTAGAGTCTCACCCAGGACACAGCTGCCAGACCCTTCTTCCAAACACAGTCCCCATGGACAGACTTGGAGGCTGCCATCAGTCCCTTAGGGATTCACAGGGAAGTGCTTTCCCATCTCAGCCTAACGGACCTAACCCAGTACCACGGTGAACAGAGAAGGAAACAGAGAATCAATTGGGACAGAGATAGGACTACAGCCCAGGCCATGTGCCCTTGAGCATCATTTGTGTAGACTGGGGTGTTGGGGAGAGGAGGTCTCCCAGCTACACTGAGCTCCAGCTCCAGGGGACTCTCCTTTTGTGGTCTGATTCTCAGCCTGACCCTCCCCCAGCCTGCCATCCCTTGCCACCATCACTGTGACCTCTGCACAGGTTCACCTCACAGACATGTGGCTGGCACCAGCTAGTGGCTGTCTGACTCCTGGCCTGTAGCTGTATGTGGCCACCCACCCTGGCCTGAACCTTGTGCCATGCCAGGACTCTGAGGCTGGCAGAGCCAGCATGTGTGGCCAGTCAGCCGCATGTAGGTCATGGGGTTGGGCCACACAGAGTTGGGAGAAGTCTCCAGTCTTCCAGCCCAAGTGCAAGGCAGACCCCTTCTCCCTTTCCCATCTGTTCCTACTGGGGTCAGGGCCCTCACTGTAAGAGTGGACTCACTGAAGTCTCAACTGGCCAGGCTGCTGTGGTGACTTTTGGCACAGACCTTCTAGGAGCAGAAAAGTGACCCAGCAAGGACGAAAGTAGGAAGACTCCCTGCCCACAAACAGTCACATGTGTGCCAACTGTCTACCAAGATGGGAGAGCCCTGAGCTTGTATCAGTTCCCGGGCCTTAAGGCTTCCAAGAGGCTAGTCTTAACTCCAACCTTCCCAGCGGGGAGTCCACAGTCTGCAGGAGCTCATCAGATGGGCTACCTTTCACTCATGGAGATGGATGCCTGAGAGTCCTCTCCTTCCTGGCTTCTCTTCCTGCAGCAGGAGCAGGGCCCTCACAGGCCCTTCACTGAGATTAAGGAGTGTCCCTGATCAGGAGTCAAATGACAGATGGATGTGTTACTACCCCTTTGCTCCTGGATACCTGGGAAGTGGTTCTTAGCACAGGACACCCTAAGACACCCATAGAAGAGACAGCAGGAACCGTGGATGGTGCTCCTACCAACCTGGGACTTCCAGTCCCAGGGAGGAAGGAAACTGCAAGCAGAGGCAGGGACACCCTTCCTGGGGTCCCAAACCTGCCTTCTGTATTTGAACAGGTGAACAGGGTGATGAGTGACCAAGGAGTGAGGGGGTCATTCCGGAGGAGGCTCCGCTGCTCTACTGCTGTGTAAACCCAGTACTGACACCCATCTCTGCCCTGAACGTGGGGTCACGATGAGACAGTGTGGTTGCAGCTATAAGGACTTTCAGGCCAGCAAGGTCTACCATGTCTCTCCCTGTCACTCATGCTATGATTTTGCAGCTTGCTGAGTTCTAAGACTGCCTTCTCCAGAGAGCTCCCTGGCTGGGTTCATGGCCAGGGCCATGCTCCCCGGGAATAGCATGACCACGTTTCTTTCCATCCCACCAATGTGTAAGCATGGATGGCAGGTCCTCCTGTGTTTGAGCCCCGAGTAGCCTCATTCACGCTGACTTGTCCGAGGCCTACATCAGGTCCTCAAACTGCGACTATGAATATATCACTCTTGCACAACTTGACATCTCCAGGAAGAACGGGAGGTGCCCAGTGGTCCCATCGGTATTTAGAGTCATTGTTATAGACCTATGGGTCTTAGGTGTCGGACTGCAAAGGAACAAGGCTCCAGTGTGACAACATAGAGGTTCTAGGTGTGGAGACCTTACCACACACCTTCCTGGACCATCCTATCCTCTAATTAACATCTATCTTCGGTGGGATTCACTTGGCAGGATGAAGTAAGTGCTCACTTTGAATGGCTGATAACTTCCTGGGGAGACCCAATGACCTGGTGCGGTGTTTCAGATCACAGTCCTCCACTGTCAACTACTGTTCCGTTAGATAGTACCTTCAGCCCTGCAGACTGCCTCCCACAACATGTGAATACACAGCTAGGAACGTCCTACAGTACTCTGCCCTGCCCAGGCTCAAGGGAGCGGAGCTTTAGGCTGTTGGCAGAGTGAAGAGCCTAAAGGACTGTGCGCAGTGGCCATTTAGAGGGACACTGGAGGAGCTAAAGCTGTAAGAGTGTCCCTGTTCCCTCCCTGGGAGGTCGCTTTTAAGTCCAGGGTCTCCCAGGCTCTGGTGCTGAGGGTTAACTGACCTGAACAAGGACTTCAGTGGGCCCTGTCTTAGTCAGTGTTCTATTGCTGTGAAGAGACACCATGACCACGCCGCTCTTATAAAGGAAAATATTTAATCGGGGCTGGTTTACAGTTTCAGAGGTGTAGTCCATCATCTTCATGGTAGGAAGCACTGCAGACAGGCACGGCAGTTGAGAGGTCTACATCTGGATTCACAGGAAGCATGAAGAAGGCAGACACTGGACCTGGCTTGAGCATTTGAAACCCCAAAGCCCACCCCCAGTGACACACTTTCTCCAACAAGGCCACATCTCCTAATCCCTGTCAAGTAGGGCCACTCGCTTATGACCAAGCATTCAAATATACAGAGGCCGTTCCTATTCAACCACCACAGGCTCCCAAACGTACTTCTGGTTCATTCCTCAGAGGTATGTATTCCTGTCCTTTATCCTGCATCCCAGCGAGAGGGAGAGACCCCAAAGACTGGACCTGACATTCAGCTCATAACCCTGGTCCCACAGCGGGGGCCAATGATCACAGTCCTGTGGAACCAAGGGTCACAGTCCCTCTAAGTTCCCTGCTCATCCCTCCTGCCCACATTGCTGCCACATCCCAGGGGGTTTTGGGGGCTGAGTGGTACCCCCTAAATGGATGTGTTCACCGGCACTTGTGAATGCAAATGTATAAAGGCCCTAACCGTGTCAAGTTGAGATGAGCTCACTGCATTAGCGTGGCTGACACCATGGAGGAAGATGGGTTTGGACACACACACAGACACAGGGATCTCTTATGTGACAGTAGGGGTAGGGATCAGAGAGGAACTTCTGGGAGCTAAGGAGCTCCAGGCACCGCTGGTGGCTTTCTAGGCAGGAGCTCCAGGCACTCCTGGTGAGCATCGAGGCCTGGAACAGATGCTCACTCAGGACTCCAGAAGGACTCGGTGCTGCTGCACCTTGACTTTGGACCCTGAACCCAGGGCTGTGAGCAAAGTGTTTTCAATTTATTTAAACTCTAGTTTGCAAAACTCTGTTCCAGATGGAAACTCGGAGCAGACAGGCTCTGAAGAAGCAGCCAGACACCTTCAGCACAGGACCACTCCTCCTTGGCCCCAGGTGGGTGTGGCAGGGTGAGAGACTCCGCTTCTCTGCTGGTTGTGCCCAGTCTCTTCTCCCTTATCCTCCCTCAGACATCCCTACCCACCCCTCACTTGTCCAGCATGGGGAGTGGGGGATGTCCTTCTGTGTAAGCTGTGAATATGTGTTTCTTTTGTTGGCTGATGAATAAAGCTGCTTTGGCTAATGGACAGGCAGGATGTAGCCAGGAAGTATAGGTGGGGCTACCAGACTAGGAAAATGTTGGGAGGAGAGATGCAGAGAGTCACCAGGGACACACCATGTAACCGCTGAAGGAGTAACATGTTAGAGCTTTACAGGTAAGCCACAGACTCATGGTAATACAGAGCTTAATAGAAATAGGATAATAATTAAGGGAGAGCTAGCCAATAAGAAGCCTGAGCCACTGGCCAAACAGTTTATAAATTAATATAAGCCTCTGTGTGTTTATTTGGGACTAAAGCACTGCCAGACCTGGCTGGGAAGAAACTCCATCTTCACACAAGCCTTCAGCTCACTCTGTACCCACCTCTCCTATACCTCTTCCACAGCCTGGCCCCTAAATAAAGCAGCCATCTTCCTGCTGTCGGGGGATAGCCTAGGGTGGGTAGAGCCAATGGCACCCCCCACCCGTAAACCTCCTGAGACAAGGGCAAAGCCAGGAAGCCCTAGTTACAGCCACATGCTTACACCCAGGTCATCCAGGGAGAGGCACTGAGCTCCCCTCCGTCTCTAAGGATCTTTCAACTCCTCCACCCCACACCTGTCCATCCTACAGCCTCTCTTGAAGCCCGCTGAACCCTCCTCGCCTCATCCGCTTGAATGGACTGAGGCAGTGTCCTGGGACTTTGAGCTCTCTGTCCAGGATGAAGGTTCTGTCCTGGCCTTCACTGAGGTTCTGTTGTACTGAGCCCTGTGGACATAGCCTCACTCACTGACATTGGGGGCGGGATCTCACATTCTTGGTCATTAACTGGGCGGCTCCAAGTTCCGGTGGCTGGTCCCACACCTGGGGAAGACAGAGAGGAGGAGCCGTTACACATACGGGGATTTCCTGTCCCTGCTGTGGCAAAGGCCCATAGACCTGAAGAGTTAAAGTACAGATTTGTCTTCCAGTGCTTCTGGGGGGTCAGGGTCTGATCCAGAGTCTACTATTAAGGTCAAGGTGTTAGAGGACATCTCTCCCCTCCCCCACACCCTAAAGCTCACGGAGACTGTCTCCATGCCCTCCTAGAGGCCACATGCCCCTCTACACATCTTCCCTGGGTAGAACCCGCCCCTAGCAGCCCAACTCTCCATGCTGCACCCTCCCCTCCCTCTCCCCACGTAGCAGATCCTGTGTGCACCCCAGGCCTCCACAGATGAGCCGGTTACCCCCACACACAGCATCTCCAGCAAGACACCAGTCTTTAAATACTTCCTTCCACGAATAGGGAAAAAAATTTAAAACAACAACAACAACAAAAACCACGAGCTCTAGGACCATTCCACCAACCACACTGGGCCACTCTGGGCACTCTGTATTTGTCACCTGTGTGTGCCTTGACAGTGACACTGAGTTCCTTCCCTGACCCTTTCCTCCAGTTACTCACCTTGTCCATGGCGCCAGGCCTGGGGCCCAGGAGGATCAGGTGGCCAGAGACACAAGCTGTTCATTGTGTTTATGCGGGTGGGTCCCACTGGGCCTGGCAGGCCAGCACCAGCATCCTCCCACTGCTTAAAAAAAAAAAAAAAGGGCCTTTGTGCAGGCAGCAGGTCCCACCCTGCTTCACACGAGCCAAGACCGGCTCCCAGCTTCCCTGTTCGCAGGCAGGGTGACCGTGTGGCTCTTCATTTTGTGTGGTTACTGTCACCAGTATTGCACGCCAGAGGGACCAGCAGACCTGCCAGCTGAGGGCCCGTTCCTTCGTGGCTACAGTGTTGGTGAAGTTACAGGGAAATGGCACCTGGGAAGACAGTGATGCTGGCCAGCCAGGCCCTGTGGCAATGGCAGGACTACTTGAGACACCTCCTGAATCCCTTGGGTAAATAACATGGTCCCTGTGGAGTAGTACACTCAGAAGAGGGTGAGCTTCCCCAGGGGGCACTGACAGCCTGGTGGCCAGCAGGTGCTTGAACTGACTGATGCTGTTGTCTCTGTGGAAAAGATTAAGGACAGGAGGGAAGGAGGTGGCCAAGAGACAACAGTGAGCATTGGAGGCTGCAGCCATGACAAAGGCTGGAGTCTGGAAGGCAGTGGGGTCCCAAGGGACCTGGGAGCCATTAGGACCTGGGAGAGGTGACAGCATCACCGCACCATCCCCGGCACCATCCTTGGTACCATTCCTGGCGCCATCTCTGTCAACATTTAGTTTCCAGCAAGTCCCCAGGAGTCAACATGCACCCTGGCTTGGAACATGTCCCCAGGCCTGCTGCTGCTGTTAGTCCAGGCATCTCAAAGGCTCCAGGATGGGGACACGCTTAAGAAAAGACTATGAGCTGTAGTGACACCATCCCACTCATACAGCGTAGGGTACGGGCTCCTACCAACCCCCCGGGGGAAGATGCCTCCCCGAGGCTCCAGTGTTAGATTGCAGAGTGGCCAGGCCAGGGGCTTGCTGCCTCCTTTTTGTTCCAGTTCTCTGGAAGGTCATAGCCACTGACAACAGGAGCCGAGGCTGCTTGGCATCCTAGAAGTGGAGACTCCAGCACTGTCCCCAGGGCCAGGGTCAGGATGGGAGGGAAGGAAGAAACAAGGGAGCCGCTTTTGTGAAGAGAGAACTGGGTGGGGGCACAGGAAGGGCAGGGAAGGAAAACGGGAAGAAGGGTGGGGAGGGCAGCACGGATGGAAATTGCTTGAAGCCGCAAGGACAGGCCCCGCTTTGACCTGAGGTAGAGGGCGGCAGGAGCCTTCTCTACTCCCCACACAAGGCCTCAGACGCCAGGCTTCTGCAGCTCTTCTGGAGCCAGCCCAGGAAAGGCCTCCATAGACTATGAGGGTGGCCCCCATTCCCACCTCATCTGCTTGAGGCCTTATTTCAAGCCCATGGGACATTCCACAGGCTGGAGTGTCCAGCCGTAAATGCCACCAGCGGCTGAGGCAGTGGCAGTGTGGTACAGGAGCTGCTGCTGGGTCTCCCGGCTGTGAGCACTGTTCCTGGAGCCATTCCAAGAGTGGATGGGAATAGGTAGCCCAACACCAAGGGGCTTGGAGAGACCAGCTCAGGAGGAGAGCTACTGGAGCCAGGCTGTGGGGAAACCAAGTCTCCAACGACACTGGGGAGATCTGCTGGAGTTAGGACCACACCCAGGGTCAAGGGTCATGGGAGAAGCCCTCGAGGACAGCAAGGCAAGGGCAGTGAAGGAGGATAGACTTCTCCCATGACAGACTCCCATCAGAGTCGTCTACCTCCAATGCTCTTCCCCGCTTCCAAACGGCTGGAAGCCCAACCAGAAGCCCAAACTACCTGGCGGACAGTTTGCTAGTGCATGACATAGACAACATGAAAAGGGACAGAGAAAAACTACACACAAAGAAAGATCCATCTGTTACCCCTGTTGCTGTCATGATGGTTGGTTGATAGTTGTGGTAGAGATGGTAATGGTCCTGGCCATGGTTTTGGTGACAGTGACAGCGGTATTTGCGGTGGTGACAGTGATGGCAATGGTCCCGGTGGTCATGTCCGTAGATTTAGTGGACATGACGATGCTCATGTTGGTAATAGCAGTCATGGTGGTGGCGATGGTGGTCGTGTTCTTAGGTTTGGTGGTGATGATGATGTTGGTGCTGGCGATGATGGTGGTGAGGGCAGCCATACGACACTAATGTTGGTAATCGTGGTGATGCCGGTGGTGACAGAGATGTGATAGTGATGGTGATCATTGCATTAGTTTTGGTGGTGGCGGATGTTGGTGATGGTGATGGTGGTGACGGGAGTGAAATGACGGTGATGGTAGTCATGTTCTAAGTTTTGGTGGTCATGGTGTTCACAGTTTCAGTGGCCATGGTGACTACACCCCCAGGGCAGGTAATGAAACTGTCATTTTCTGAAGAGCTGGGACTGTCCGGTAGCCTTTTACTCTCTGCATTAGACCTCTTATTCATCTTGCAAACATGAACAAACCCTGAGTCCCCTCTGTCCACACTGGGCTGCTGAGTAATGTCACCAGGCACAGGAAATCACTACTGGCCAGGATGAGTCCTGCTGGTCATTAACTCACCACCCAGCTACTGTTTACCCACACTGCCATATAGCCTAGTCTCTCCTTGGATGGCTGGCCACAGGTCATGCATACCATGGCAGGCCTGTGCACAACACCAACCCTTCCTAGCCCAGGTCACTTATTTCCCAAGGCCTTCATGGGCTACCCCATGGGAAGTTTGCTTCTTAGAGCTAATGCTGCCCAGGGTTCCTCCTCCCTCTTCTACCCAGGTACCTGCCCACCCAGCAAAGGTTTTTTTCTCCTTCTCGGGCCTCTAGGAAGCTACCCCTCCTTCCTGTCAGTGAGGAACGCAGCTGGCACAGGGAGGAAAAGACATACTGACATCTCAGGAAGAAAGCTGCCGGCTGCAAACCCACACCTGCCTGGTCTCTAAGCACACCCTGTCTTCTCTCCGGCAGAGGACAGGTGGGTGTATTCAGTCCAAGTTCACAAAATAGAGCAGTCTGACCCTACATGGTTTATGCGTGAGTTCACTCCATTGCTCTTTTATTTATTTTTCTTTTTGCTGGGGATTTGGCAAGGAGCATGCCAGGCAAACACTTTACCAAACTAGCTAGCCCCAGCTCCCTCCCATGTCCCTCTTCAAGCCGGACTTGACTATAAGCACACATGTACAAATATACTGCATACACACTGCACTATCACACAACACACTTACACTAACAGGCATGTACATATTAACATGCACAAAATCATATGTCACACATAAGCCACACACATATTTTCATGTGCCTAACACATAGGAACCCATTTTAATACCACACACACTCATTCATGACACAATATCCCCATATGCACATAACATTCATGTACCTACCTACATGTGACATGCTCAGACATGCTTTTGAACACACATACACATATACACACACCAAGTCCACAAACAGCACACTCACTTTTACACATATGCAAAAAGTCCTTCCCATACAAGAGCACACATAACACACCAATAACATAGAGCATATACTACACATACACACACCATATAAAGACACACACCAGTGTCTTTTCATCTTCTGTGATTTTCCACATTGGTACTGGCCAGAAGGAGGCTGCCCACCATTTTTCTTACTGCCTCCCGGACCTTGACCACAGAAGCATCCTTACTTTTAGGCCCAGTCCCAGCGGTGCATGGCTAGGTGTGTCTGGCTCCTGGGACAAAGAATGGCTGTAGATGGAGGAGATTCTGCTGTGAACACCATGTAGCCAACCTAGGCTGCCCAGCCCCCAGGAGGACTCCAAACAGGCCTGGACTCCTGGAGCCCAGCCGTGGGAATGGCTGCCTAGGAGAAGCATGGGGGTAAAGAGTATGCCTCTGGCCCAACAAGTAGCAGGTGCCCCTCAGCCAGTGTAGCAGGACCTTGGCTGTGGCTCCCAGGAACCCGCACCAGAATCCTCCCGCTACACTAATGATGCTGCCACTTATGCAGTCCCCTTCTCCTTTCCTACCTCCTTGGGGACATACACCCCAGAAAGGAGACAGCTTCCACTGGATATGCTAATAAAGGGCAAGGAGCTGGAGGAAAGGGAAGAGGAGGAAGAAGAGGAGGACTTGGCAAATATTTGCTAAGGGAATGAATGCGTGGAACACAGCTCTGCAGCCCCTGGGCGGCCCTGAAAACACAGAAACCAGGAAGGGAAGAAACTGCAAAAGGAGAAGGCAGCCCTGCCTCCAGGGAAGAGGACTTTGAGGGCTGGCAAGCCTGCCCCTTCTCCTCAGATCCCTCTGAGGACCCTGAGCCTCTAGCGTGCTCGCTTGTGAGCAGCTGAGCTGCCAGACAGACATTAGCAGAGGCAGTGCTGGGGGGAGGGGATGGAGGGCGCACACAGCCTGTCACTGCAGCTGCTTTGTACCAAATGCCTGGGATTCTAGAGTCCCTCCCACCCAGCAAGCAGGACCAGCTGAAGGCTGCCCCCTCAAGCTGGCTGCCCGGGAAGGGTCTACCTGCAGCCGTGTCTCATCCTCATTCAAATGCCAGCCAGCGTGAGTACTGTGCTTAGGAGGCCCCTCCCACCCATGCTCGCCATGAGGCAACCTGACCCGGCCCTCTTCATCATCACATGCTCCCCCTCCACCTCCCACCCCCACAAGCCACCCTACGAGTCACAAGGCAGAGTTTCCATTAGCGTCAAACGTACGTGGATGCTGGTCCTAAAACCGGTGGGAACGCAAGGGGAGAGGACAGTTTTAGAAAATTCACATGCCTGGAGTCACATGGTGACCAAAAACACAGCGCCCCCCCCAACGTGGGGCAAATGGTCCTTAGGGTGTGGACTCTGTATTTGTCTGTGTCCCCGTCACACAGCCACTTCAAGGAGGGGGGTGACAGATGCTCACCCTTAAATAAGTTATTCCACCTATAAAGCGCAGTGCTGGAGGGTTCAGTGTTCTCCAGGACTGAAAAGCCTGTTTGAGTCCTGCCCCACAAGTGCTCCCAAGTCTGTGTCACTGGCCAAAGCAGCCTGGAAGGAGTTGGGCATGTGCCCCAAGTTCAAGCACTCCAAATTGCCCAGAGTTTTCTTGGATGGTCAGTATAATCTCCAGAACCCCGCCCTCCCACCCCAAGTTCAAGGAGGACCCTATGCCTAAGGTTCCTGGGTCATTTCTGCTGAAAACCAAGCCACCACAGGAAGCAGCAAGCTTAGGGAACAAAGGCACTGACTCTTAGTGAGTGCTCAGGGCTCTCTGTTGGCCCGGCCATGGGCTCACTATGGCGCTCAGGCACCTGGAGTAGAGTTCAAAAAGATTTGAGGAGTGGGAAAACTCGCAATCCCTGCCAGCTCTCTAGCACGGGCGGGGCCGGTCAGTGTGAATAGAGCCATCTCCTTCTGCACAGTGGAAAATCAGGGAGCTCACTATTGCAGGGGCGCCCTGTTCCAGCTATTCCCCACTGCTGGCATTCCTACAAAACAACAACAAAAAACCAAAACCAAAACTAAACAAAGCACTAATGCGCAAATCAGAAACCAGGAAGAGCCATTCCAACCCTGCAGATCTGCTGTGCCCGCCCTAACCCAGGTGCATCCAGCCAGTCTCCATACACTCCAGATTGTGGTCCTTTCCCGGAGACTGGGAACGGGTAGAAGGCTTCCACACAGCAAGGCGCGGGGGGGGGGGGCATCTCAGACCCACTGGACTCCAGCTTCACAGTTTTGGTTGAGAACATAGGTTCATACGTTCAAATACTTGGTCCCCAGTTGGTGAAACTTTGGAAAGGATTAGGAGGTGTGGCATTGTTGAAGGAGGTGTGTCGCCATGGGGCAGGCTCTGAGGTTTCAAACGACTCAAGCAATTCCCAGTGTGTCTTTCTCTCCCTGACTTGTGGTTATGGGTCAAGATGTAGGCTCTCAGCTGGCCCATCGCTCAACCACCATGGACTCTAACCCTCTGAAACCATAAGCCAAATGAACCCGTTTCTTTTATAAGCTGCTTTGGTCATGGTGTTTTGTCACAGCAAAGGAAAAGTAACCAAGATAGACTCCAGGCAGCCGTGTTATTCCAGAAACTTCCCCTAGTGCCAAGCCAGTAGGTAGTGTCCAGTTCTCCCATCTGTGGCCCTCACGCCTTCCTTAAAGGGCACATCCCACACTGCAGGCGCATCAATACCTCTTGGCTCCTTAAATCCTGACTGAGCCTGATCCTGGGCCCCTCGTCACACAGAAGCAGGGCTGCCTGAAATCAAGGAACAAAACAGGAGTCCCAAAGGAGCCATATCCCTCCCATCTGGATCCCAAAGTGGGAACTGGGACAGCTCCCAGCTTTGTGGTCCCTAGGGACCTCCATCTGAGGTTACTTAGTTAGTGGCACTCCCTAGGGCCCTGGTCACAAGTGGTTGGAGGTGCGTGCAGGGGGAGTTAGCCTCTGGGATCCTGCTGTCCCGGGAAATGGGGTTGGTAGAACTCAGTGTGTCCGCAGACTCTGCTGGGACTATCTAGGTGGGTCCACAACCAACTCTGCTATGTCACAATTCCACAGAGAGGCATGATCAACGGCTCAGGTCGCCACTGCGCTTAGGACACTCATCTGTAACACTACACTTGGAGACAGTTCTTATAGAGGAACACACTCAAGGCCCCTGCCTCACCAGCGAGAAGTGAGGCTCCCACTTGATCACTGCAAGACTCTAATGGAAAACCCACCTGGTACCCTGTTGTAGCCAGGAGCCCACATGCAGAGTCCCAGACATCAGTGGACAGAAAGAGCCCTGGAGGCTTCATGGCATAGCATGTGCCAAGGAGAGGTTGTTCTATGATATGGCTGCGTGAGGGTGCCTCTTGCCAACAGGAATAAAAATGGTAGAAAAAATGGCCTTGGGGTGGATAACTAGGAACAGTTAGCAAAGTTCTGGCCCAAGCCATCCCTGGTCCCAAAGATCCATCCATTCCTCAGCAGTGTAGAGTTCTGATAAGCATTCAGGTATCAAGCAATGAGGAAGCCACTGTCCCGCAGGCTGGAGGGGGAAGGGCCGGCACTGTGGTGCCCTAGTGGACGCCAGCTCAAGGGGCATTTTAACCAGGAACCTTCACCCAGACTCCTGCTCTACAGGCAAACATCAGGCTGTCTCAATACTACCTCAGGCTGTCCCTCCTATCCAGATATCTAGTAATCCTGCCAAGCTTTCAGTCAGCTGTAAGAGAATAGGGACTGAGCAGCTCCCGTGTGCACACGGCCCCCCCTCTGTGTCTATGACACTGCAGAAACACGTGAGATAACCTGGACAGGGTGGGCTGGGGACCAGTGCAAGGTGACCAGCTTCAGGGCTCCGGAAACCTCCAGACCTGCCATACACTGAGTCCACAGTCACTGGTCAGCTGCAGCATTTCCTATTAGGTACCCGGCCACCCTGTGGTCACCATCCCGTAAGCCCACGTGGATCCCCAGACTTGTTCTGTGGATGTGCCTGCTTCTCATGTCACTCACGTCAGCCGCGATGCCATGTCCGAGGCTCCACTTCTTCTCCGGTCAGGAAAAAGGCACTAAAGAGTGTTAGCCACGGCTGCTACCCACCTCAGCTTTAGTCAGGTCTCATGCCCCACAGTGTCCCTCTGCAGCATGCTCTCTGAACACCTGGAGGAGAGCACACCACCCTGGGGTGTTTGAGAAGGAGGCACTCTCCCAGTAGAGCTGGTCCCTCACTTGCACCTCAGGACCGTGATGCACACTGGGTGACACCTTCTCCCCTTGTTCTGCTGGTCAGAGGCCCAGGTCAAGCACAGAAGGACCAGGTGCTTCTGGCAACTCTAGAGAGACCCCTGTGACTGCCCCTCTAGCATCTGCTGGAGCTCTCTACAACCCTGGTGTCCTGGTTCATCCCACCTCCCTCAGGTTCCTGCCTCAGGTCTCACGTGACCTCCTCCTCTGAGCTCACTTTGACTCACTCCTTGCAAGGCATTCGTGCCGCAAAACTCGCAAAACTCCCGTTGACGGTTTCAGGCGGACATGGATTTGGGCCGGTAGACCATGCTATAAAACCTCAGAGGGTGGAGCTGGAGAGATGGCTCAGTGGTGAAGAGCACTGGCTGCTCTTCCAGAGAACCTGGGTTCGATTCCCAGCACTGACTTAGTGGCTCACAGCCGTCTGTAACTCCAGTCCCAGGGGGATCTGACGCCCTCTTCTGGTCTCTGAGGAACACACACGGCGCACAGACACATGTGCAGGAAAAAAAGAAAAAACCCATACACACAAAATAAAAATTTTAAAGTTAAAAAAACAAAATCTCAGAGGAACAAAGAACCTGGCCTAAGTTCAGAGCCACCCAGATAGTCAGGGTCAGAGTTTGACGGGCACTTTCTCAGTAGCAGCAATGCCTCGAAGCCTGGGTAGTGCCATTCAGCATCCCCACTGCAGATCTATTGGTTCCGTCCTGCCGGGTTAAAAGGCAGGGTGTGATGCACAGTGTGCCATCATTTGCGTGGTAAAGGGCAAAACGTGAATGAATACATACGAGGCTAATTATAGTTACAAAGATGACCTAGAAAGATAAATAAGAAACTAACAAAAATAGTGACTTGGGGCTGGAGGGAGACTTTAACCATCCTGAATGTGCTTGGCCATGGTAGTTGACGCCAGAACCGTGTGGATGTTCTCCGTGTTTAAAAAAATAAACTCCGGCTTTAAAACAAAGTATCCTTTAAAAAGAAACCAGCAAAACAAAGCTTATACGGAGTTTATACAATAGTCAGGCAGAGATACATCTTCTGGGAGAAGGGAATGACAAAGAAGCCACGCATAACACCCAAGCAACCCTGCTGTCGGGGTTGACTCTGCCACTGGGGTTTCCCCACCTTGTGTAAAATCAACAGCGCTGAGAAGGTCCCACAATTACTATTGTCCAAGAAAAGTGTGCCCCTGCAGGATCTAATAGGTTAAGTAGCAAACAGAACTGTAGGTGTGAGCAGGACATGGAATGTCACCACTGAAAACAGAACTTTCATTTCCTTGTTCCTGCGGAGACTGGGAGCACTGGCCACTCAGGAGCCATGAGGCTAACCAGGTCTCTAGCCCACCCGCTTGTGGCAGACTAGGTACAGATCTAAGATAGATAAGATGTGTGTGCCCAGGATTGTGGGTTATGCCAAAAGTTAAGGAAAAAGGCAGAGGCTGTCAGGGGACATAACCAGAGCACTAAAGTTGAAGAGACCTCTGGCAGTCAGCTAGGACACCCCAGATACCCTGCTGGCAATTTGTTCAAATATGTTTATTTCAGAGAATTACTTTCAGGACCAGGTATGGCTTAGTGATCGTGCTTACCTAACAAGTGGTGGGCTCTGGGTTTTTCTCTCAAGTGTACTCATAGACACACACAGACACACACACACACACACACACACACACAAACACATGAGCACACATGCTTAAGTGTGTACCCATTCATTCCAATAATACTGAAAAATAATGAAAAAGATTTAATCTCAATTGTGACTTTTGGAGATAATTTCTGTGCCAACTCCTCATTCTGAAAATTACTCA